CACGAATCAGGGGAACACATTTCACATTTCTCTAGGACAAATTTCACAAACTTTCCTGGGGGAAATGTTGAGTCAGTTGCAGAAATGAGTGAGGAGTCTATAACTTGTGCAGTTGGCTGCTGTGATGCTTTAAAAGTAACATGAACCTAAAACCCCACTCCAACCCATGAAGCCTTCTGCTTTTATTTTAAACCAGTATTGTCTGATTGCACTATGCATTTTTATTGACCAAGTGAACTAGTAGTGACCCCTTTGGTGCAAGCAAGAGTGTGAACACTGCCTCTTCCTCTGTTTCCCCTGCCCAGTCATTCCATAACTGAGAGGTGAACAACCAGCACTAAGTGTCCTGTCTCATCCTCACCTCTTCATTCCCTCAGAGGAGCTGCCAAGTTGCTCATTGGAGCCTTCATGGGGCAGCTGTGTAGGAAAGATCACATCTGCCATCAAGTAGAAAGACTGCTGCCCTTAAGGTCAGAGTTGTGATCTAGAGCTGTGACAAATACAGTAGAGAGATGGAGTTTTGCCCCTTTGTCTGAAGGGCAGAAAAAGCCTGTCTGAATTCTTTGAAAAACATTATTTTGTTGCATCTATAATCTTTTTATTCCTCAAGTTTTACTGTGTCAAGAATCATTTCATTAAAAGGCTATGGTATTTATTTTATTTATTTATTTACCACCTTTCTTTTCTGCCCATAAGTCTACAGAGTGGTTTGGTTTTCTATTACAAAGGGAGCTTTCTTGAGGCTTTAATAAGTAAAGTGGAATTGCTTGAGGGAAATCTCCTTCCTGATTATGATTATGTATGCTTTTGTGTATATGTTGGTAGATACAAGAGGCAGATGGTAGCAGATCATTCTGTAAACTGTTGCTTACTTCCCACATATTCATGAATTCTTCATAATCAGAAGTTTCTTGAAGGATCTTAAATTACGTGTTGTAAAGTTTGGGAGGAAATATAGAAAGCTTGTTTGGTTTACTTCTTAAGAGATGTAGAATCTCTGTCTTAACAAGCATAGTCTAGACCTGAAGTATTAAGGTTGCCTTTAAATTTCTGTCCAGGGCCTTCAGGGGTGACTGAACTGTGTGGCAACCTCCAAGTTACAGCAAGCTCCCATCACATACCTTCTTCCCTGAGTAAACAATGTGTGTCAGGAAAGAGGAGGTAGGGTCAGAAGACCCTGTGCGTCTTTTGTCAGCCTGTAATTTCTCAGTCTGGGTTTACAGGCAATGTAATGTGTGCTATGCAACTGGTAATGCAAAAGAGAATAGAGGAAATGGCTTCAGATTTATATATGAATTAAAATTGTTGGCTTGCAGACTTTGGTAAATACATAGATATGGTTGTTTCTCTGTTTTTAGGAATACACTATAGATATAATTTTTGCCCAGACTTGGTATGACAGTCGTCTAAAATTTAACAGCTCAATGAAGGTGCTTATGCTTAATAGCAATATGGTTGGAAAAATTTGGATTCCAGACACTTTCTTCCGGAACTCAAGGAAGTCTGATGCTCACTGGATTACAACTCCAAATCGTTTACTTCGAATCTGGAGTGATGGAAGAGTCTTATATACTCTAAGGTGGGTTTTTATTATCTGGGTAGAAAAAATTCTGAAACTGTTATGATCAGGAATATAAAAAAAATTGATAAAAATCAGATCCCTGGCATCTCTTTTGTTATGGATCACAGGAATTCTCAAGGAGTTAAGGCTAGTTGTGTTGTGTGAACAATTTTAAAAAGTTTCCTGTATTGGATGTAAGAAGAATTAGAATGTTGTAAAAATTTTCTCCTCACTGAATCTTTTCATAGTATGTGAGCACTTATTAAATGGTTTATTATGTTCATGTTTACAGAGGTCTCTAGAGAGCCTCTTCTGTTGACATACTAATTTTTTTCTTTAGCTAGCACTTATAGTGTCATGCTTGGACTTTACCCTTCCATTGTCCATTTAGTTTCAATGTACAATTTCTTCTAAAGAGGTTTTGTGAGAAAAATATCATGTGAACCCTCATGGAGCAATAGGTTAGAATTACTGTGTTACAGTATGAGATATAAAGTGCAGTGAGGTAATAACAAAACAGCAGAACAGGATGTCTCCCAGCACTGCAACATGCAAACATCTGTATAGGTGTGGATATGGCCTGAATTTGCGCTAAGGTAGAACAGCACTGAGTGGTTTATATGTTGCTTACTATAGGAATAATAATACAATCTGACAGTTCTCCAGGTTCATGGTCTTCCCTGTACCCCCTCTTTTTCCTTGTTGGTAATTCAGGGGCCAGACATTGTGCATCTGTTAATCAGCCTTACCAAATCTCCTCTGAGGGTAGCCCTTGGTCTGTTCATTGCATCCATCAGTGATTCCAGATCCAGTTGTGTTGCTTTTAATAGAAGGCTGGGATTGTTTTCTTTTTCTTTGAGTGTTTGACTGTCCAAAGGTTGAAAATGGAAAACAAAGGCAAGAAATGCCTATCTCATAGCTGACAAATGTAGAAAGCATCTTCAGAGAGATGCAAGTATTTAGCTTAGAAATGTGGGTGAGGGTTTATCTCTCCACACTTCCTCCCCTCCCCTCAGTATGCTAAGAAATACACTTTTTCCTTATAAACCTCTTTCAGTCAGGTCCTGGAAAGGTCCTAGTGGCACCTGGTGTTGTAGAATGAGTACTCTGTTCAGAGACTTAGAAAACTTCCTGGAAACATAATATTCCTTTTCCCACCCCTTCTTGTCTAATATGTAAGCATTGCACACAGTCAAGTATGTAAGCATTATGTTAATTTTTAAAGTTGATTTTAGCAGACATTTTGACTTTCTCAAACAAAGTCAACAAAGTAAAAAGACTTCTAAATGTAAACAAGTCAGTTTGGAGTCTAGCCCCTTACTCTAGCTTCCTAGTGAAAGATAGTAGAACTGAGTTTTGCATTGAGTGCTTGGAAGTCCTGTGGGAATCTATGATAGCATTTTCAAAAGCAGCAAGTGGTTCAGTTGGCAGAATTATGAGTCCTAAGCCACTTTAAAAATGTTTATTAGCTGTGAATTACTTGAATGCCTTAGACATCAAATGAGTAGAAACATCAAGTCTGCTCTTTCCTATCCTTGCTGCTATCTTCACCAGAGCTACTTCTGTGAGTATAGAGCAAGCCCAAGACTGTTCCCACCTTCTTTTCTCTTCTGTATAGCCACCAGGTACAATGATGCCAAATGTAGTTTGTCTCAATAAATGCATTCTACAGAAGCTTCCTTTATTTGCTATCATACACTCCCCTCTTTCCCCTGTCAACAGTCCCTCCCTTTTATCCCCTGTTTCTGGTGGAGCTGAGAGGTGCCCCCAAATCAATTGAAATTTTTGAAATGTCTTGAAATGCCAGTTGAAACAACACAGGTCCTCAGGTTGCATGTGGTAGTAGTTCATGTTATTTTGTTCTTTGGTGGTGATGCTGGATGTGTTTTTACTGATACACAGTAGGCTATTTGTAACATCCAGTAATTGGCAAAATTGATTTCTGTGCATGTTCTTTACTATGTAGTCTGAAGTGTCTGGATGCTTCAATATAACCTTTTTCTTTTCTCCTTCCCCCCTTTCTATTCTAATTAGGCTGACAATTAATGCTGAATGTTATCTTCAGCTTCATAATTTTCCCATGGATGAACACTCCTGTCCTCTGGAGTTTTCAAGCTGTAGGTGGTAAAATGCTTTTTTTTTTTCCTCTTTTCATTCAGGCTTTAAATTTCCTTAAATTCTTGCAGCAGGAGAGCAAATGTTTACTTTTTAAAGCCTTGTAGTGAAGGAAAGAACTGACCTCTTCATGTTTTGGTTAGATTTATTGCATTATTTAATGCAGTAATGAATTCATTTATTTACATGCATTTTGTGCAACTTTAAAAATAATCTTATTGCTTAGGAGTCTGCTACAATGCTCATTCTAGTTAATGGAAATCCATTGCCCTGGAAGAACTCTATTTTTTATGCCTGAAAGACTTGACAGCTTTGAATTAGATTCATGTGGTATATTTAAAAGGAAAAATAAGATCTGTCTTCTTCAACCTGTTCCCATAAATGCTTAATCAGTATATGAAGTCCTCCTTTCAGTGGGACTTATTTTATGTAAGCAAGAAACACAGGCTTCATTTTTTTCATATATATGATATATTTAAAAAATCTCTAAGGGAATTGTGCTATTAGAATTATAAAATCATTAAGGTTGGAAAAGACCTTTAAGTTCCTCAAGTCCAACCTTTGACTGAACACCACATTGTTCCCTAGACCACATCCCTGTGCCACATTCAGTTGTTTCTTGAACACCTCCAGGAATGGTGATTCCACCACCTCCCCGGTCCAGTTTATAATAACCCTCTCAATGAAGAAATTCTTCCTCATATCCAGCCTGAACCTTCCCTGATAGATCTTGAGGCTGTTTCCTCTTGTCCTCTCACTAGTTGCCTGGGAGAAGAGGCTGAACCCCACCTTGCTATAACCTCCTTTCAGGAGGTCTCCCCTGAGCCATCAATACTATTTTATCAAATTATGTACTAATAAGTCTCTGTCCTTTTAAGTTCTTTCTAATTGTTTAATGATAATACATTTGTGTATTAATTCATAGTGATGATTCTGAGCCAGTTTTTCATGTCATAATTTGAGAATATTGTGTAGATATTTCCTAAGCATTTGTATTTACATAGTTTTAGATCAAGCATACAATTAGCTAGGCTTAAAACTAAGGCCAGATATTTTGTGGTTAAATTTTAAATTTATCAGGTGGACTACAGATTGGCTTTGTCTCTGATCCAGTTTATGTATAGCCCTGGTTTATTTTAAAAATAACTTCAAAGATCACAAAACATGCTTTGGTACATTCTGTGGCTGAATGTTTGATTTGTTTTGTTGTATTCTAGATGGATATCCCAGAAATGAAATTGAATACAAATGGAAGAAAACCTCTGTTGAAGTGGCAGATCCAAAATACTGGAGATTGTATCAGTTTGCATTTGTAGGGTTGCGAAATACAACTGAAATTTCTCATACCTTGTCTGGTAAGGCAAAGTGTTATTTCATACAGTATCTATGTAGAACAAGGCTAACAGATGAAGATACAACTGAAAACCGTTTTAAGTGTCATGTAAGTATTTTGTATTCTTTTTTTTTTTTAATTTGTAGGTGATTATATTATTATGACAATCTTCTTTGATCTCAGCAGACGTATGGGATATTTTACTATTCAGACATACATTCCTTGTATACTCACAGTTGTTCTTTCATGGGTGTCATTTTGGATCAATAAGGATGCAGTTCCTGCAAGAACTTCTCTGGGTAAGAATGTCTTTTTTCAGCCTTGAAGGGTCTGGTACTCCCCAGGAATACAAATCTGAAACAAGGTGCAAATTAACCACAGTTTATTCCCCTTCAGTTTGCGACCATTGGTCACTCTTTCTCTTGAACTGCAAGATTGGGAGTAGAAGAATCCTGCTGTGGTTGAACAGCAGGGCTTAAGGAAGGAATGTTGAGAATGGAAATCCTGATTCAAGCCTTGTGAATCTCCTGGTTTTCACATAAATACATTTTATTCTCCTTTGTGTTCTTTTTGTCATCTCCAGGGACTGCAATATGGCAATAAGCAGTCTGACAAGTATGACTATGACTTAGCGTCATGAAACAAAGGATGTCATTACTGCATGAGTGAAAATCATGACAATTTACTCCAATTTTGTTGGAGTATTCTTTGTATTGTTGTTGTTTTTCTTAATAATAGAAATAATTCAGTTACTCTTTTAAGCCCAGGATAGGACAGAAAATTGGCAACCAAAGTTGCACTTCAAGCAGTTAAGCCTATAACTCACATAAACTGGCTCACTGTCCTGCTTTTACTACAGAGTGTGCTGAAGTGTGTTGCAAGTTCTGCTACAGAGATAATTCTGTGATGGTGTCATCTTCGCTGACCTGTTTAGTACAGTGTCAGTCTGCTACATTTGACTGTTTAGGGTTCATGTGCTGCCTTGGAGAAAAGTTGTAGCTCACACATCAAGCACGATAGACAGAGGTGCGTGGAGTGCACAGGACGCACACTAGCAACTTTGAGTTTAGCAGTCACAGATGCTTATAGTAAAACTAGTGACAGCAGTATGACCTATTTTGGGGGAAAGATCAAGAGCTGAGTGTATCTTAGGAAGTGACAGATGCGAGTTAATTTTCCTTGGTGGTTTATGGCATTGTGAACTCACCATTCCCACCCTATAGGAGCATTTGCTACCAGAAAGGGGAGTACAGGCTTTAACTCCCTCCCTTTCCCACTGAAACTGGACCACTGTGCAGTCAAGCCTGCAAGATTAATAAATTGAGAAAGAAAGCAAGCAAAAATGAGCATGGCTCAGTAGCCTGATGAAAAGGTAAGGGAAGAAAATCTAAGCTTGGATCCTAATTTTATGTTATTTAAAAGTACTGCAAGGTTTAGTGAAGAGACCCTAAAATCTTGGATAAGTGAAACTAACTTCTAATAATTTCAGACCTTGATGCAGAAATTTGTTTTCAGATTTCTTTGACTGACGAATCACTGGACATCATTGTGGGTCCTGCCTGGAAAGACACTAGCTATAACAGGAAAAACTGATGTATTTGTATCCTGCTAATTCTGTACCCAGTTTGTTCTTTTTACAGAGTACTTTTTCTGTGCCACGAACCTAGAAAATTTGCCTTTGATGTCATGGTTAAGCTGAAGTTTGCATGCTCCCACTTCAGCAGTACTAACCTTCATCTACTTGAGATGAACTACAAATGTTTGCAATATCTTATTTACAGCTCCCTGCAGGTAACTCTGAGCTCCTTTCATGTGAACATGCAAAAGCTATCATTTGACAGATTGTAGGGTGACTTTTCTCACATGCAGATGTTCCGGTGAAGGAGAAAGAGAGTACCAGTCAAATAGACGCAATTTTATAGAAAAAGACTGAGAAATAAAGACAAGAAACCAAAACTAAGCAAGGTCTACTGTGGCAAGTAGCTGTTGTGATGCAGAAGGTTTGCTCCCTGTTGCAGGCCCCCTATGCCTTTCATATAGCAAAGAAGGCTGGAAAAATTGGCATCTCATTTTGTCCTCTCTGAACAGAAGTCAGTACAGGGAATGGTGGGTGTGACTTCCAACCTAAAGGCTGTGCTGGGATCTGGTACACTGAAAAGACTTGGGCCTTTTCCTTCTGTATGTGTTGAAAGATCCTGGCAGATTGTGGTTGCCCAAAGCAAAAGGGTTGAGATGATTAAAGGTATTTAGATATTTAGCTACACAGAGAAATACCTAATTGATTTTCAAAAGTATCTACTGGGAGTGAAGCACTTTTGAAGAACTCTGTGGTTATCTGTTTGCCCTTTCAGGCATATAATTTCACTGGGAAACCTGTTGGCAAAATCACTACTACTTTGCTGCTGCAGGGACATTCCATAGTGCCCCCTGATTCCCTGCTTTGACTTAAAAGCCATAGACAGCCTTAGACTGGTGTAACACTTGCTTTTTTAATAATCCTGTGCATGTAAATAACAAATTATTTGTGTGTTCAAGTATTGCTCTCCAAAGAATAGGTCATATCTTAATTTTGGACTACTATGAGAAAGGCTTTGCATCTCCCTGAAACATCAAACATAAGAAGAAAGTGTTAACACCTTCTAAAAGCTAAACTGGTGAAGAGTGGTATAGTTGAGATTTCGAACACATCGCTATTAAGGCCAGCTTGTTCTTTTAATTAACTTGTATGTAAGTGAATCAAGAGAAACATTTTCTATTACTTAAGACACAGTATTGAAAACATACCTAGTAACAGAGAATGAGACCAGAAAGGCCATGAAGGTCATCTAATTTGATATGGTACATGTCAGAAGTAAATAATTGAAAACATTATTAATTTTCCTTGTGTTTACCAGAAGTTTGAAATTATTGGTAAATAAGACACTTTTTTTCCCTGAATGTGTCCTTTTTTACATTTTAATCTTTCAAGAGCTAAGGGACTTCTTCGTGTTTATAAAATTTGTGTGCTCATTTGTACCTGTTTGTCTGTTGCATTTATGTGTACATTCTATGACAGATTTATAAAATAGCACAAACTTCATCAATGGCATTGTTTCTTCAATGTGTGTTAAAAATAGGAGGGGTGTAAAGAGAAGATGAAATGTGCTGCCTTCTCTGTGATCCCATGGTGGCTGCTGGATCCGTAGGGATAGCTTTTTCCAATGGCACCAATGTGTGCAGGTGTAGTCAGTGGTGAACCCTGCTATGACTTAGCTCTTATGTGCCTCATCAGTGAATTAAGGGCTGATTCGATGATTCATTAGGTTTTTTGTGGTGATGTGATCGGATTACTTATACATTTCCCTCTTCCTGTCCTTTTTCTTTCTTTCTCAAACAGGCATCACAACTGTTCTGACCATGACAACACTGAGTACAATTGCTAGGAAGTCACTCCCAAAGGTTTCGTATGTGACAGCAATGGACCTTTTTGTTTCAGTTTGCTTCATTTTTGTGTTTGCTGCCTTGATGGAATATGGCACCTTGCATTACTTTACCAGCAACAGAAAAGGGGACAAAGGGAAAGAAAAGAAGGCAAAATCAAAGCCATCAGTAAGTTTAGCCAAACAAGAAAAAAAAAGAAATACAGAATTCTCTTTATTGTGACATTCATTTTGAGATTCTGGTTCTTAAGCAGAAAGGCTAATGTTCAAAGATAATTAACACTAATATTTATTTTGTTATTTCTTTACAGTTGGGGGCTTTTTCTAATTTTCTGTAAATACTACTAATTAGCAAAGGTTTTAGATAATTTCATTTTTATGTGTATGAGAACACATGAACCTAAGTTAAAGAGTAGTTTGATAGAATATTCCATGCCCTTGATACTTCTAGAGCTGCCTGTGGAGTGTGTGCCCATTGAGATCTGCCTGGGCACAGTGCTTCTGAAAACAGCACCTGGCAGAGAACCACAGATAAGACTGTAGTAGTAAAGATAATGTAAATAAACTGAAGGTATGAGGATTTCTTTGGATTTGTACCACCTAACTTGGGTCTTAAAAAGCTTTGCAAAGGAAAAAATTGGTCAGTATTCTGACTCTCTTCTGCTTCAGAATTTGTACCTTAACTCTTTTCTAAATTTGCTTCCATGTTTCTTTCTGGTTTAATGAAACTTCTGCTTTTACAAGTTGATGTTTGTATGGTGTAAATCCACACATATCTCAGGAACAAGCATTATTCCATTTTAAGAGGCTTTCTGTTCATGTAGTGAGAATACTGGAATTTTCAAAGAATCTGTTGTTGGAAGGATAAAATTAGCAGTATAGTACTCAAAACACTGTTCAGTTGTGTTTTACTGGGTTCTTAAAGCATGCTTTTTATTTCTAAGTAGTTGGAAAAACCCACATCTTTTCACATGGAATTCTTTAAACATTTTCCAACATGTTATGGCTATAATACCATACTAGATAAAGAGATTACTCTAAAAAACAAGAGAATTAAATTTAATATACTTAGATGCAAGGATTCTGATTTGATAAATAGGGATTTTTGGGTGATATTTTATAAAAAACTGTAAAATTCTTGTTCCAAATAGACAACTGAAAGAAGCCATTTGATTAGTTAATGGGAAGTCATACAATTACAAATCCTTTTTTTAAATTTATTTTTATCTCCTTTATTTTTGTCAAAGACTTCTGTTCATTCTTTTTCTCTTCTCCTTATGGATATGTAACTCAGAAAATTAATTGATTAAAAAAGTCACTCTAATTCCTTCAGAAAAGTTCTCATTTACAGGCGCTTCTTTAGCTTAGAAAACTTGCCTTGCACAGATCTTCTGTTTCTACTGCAAAATGTAATAAAAGCTTATTATTCCAGGGACTGAGGCCAATAGGGGACAATAAATGATCTTGTGAAAAAATGGCAAGATTTTACAAATGATTACAGCAGTTTTATCTTATAAAGTATGTGCTGGCATCATTCAAGAAAGGTAGTATGAATTGGCTTATGCAAATCCACATTAATAAGGATAATGAGTTTGGGCAGGAAAGATTAAACTTAATTAGTTGTGGATCTTGTTCTGATCATCATTTCATGTGAAGTCAATGCATCACCTGTGCTACGATCTGCACAGACAAAGGCTTTCTTTTGTACTTGTATTAGTGTTATTGCAGAATAATTGTGGTTTGATCCTATCAAAGTGTATTATAAATCCTTCTCGCTGTACATGGAGTCTTATCTACTATATCAATAGGCAAGTATATGGAAAATCAGCATGTACTACTCTACTGTAGCTACATGTTTTGAGTGGGGGGTTTTTTGTTGCTTTTTTAAGCCTCTGCCAACTGATATAAAGTCATTTTCTTGTGAGGTGTGGTCTTTTTTCCTCTTTTCCCTCACATTGCCTCTTCCTTCCACACATTTTATGTATTTCCTGTAGGTAGTTAAGCCTATAAGATGACCATGTCTGCCTCTCTCAAGCCATCTCTTTAAACCTGTAGTTCAGTAGCCACCCTCAGTCTGTGCTGGTGACATGAGCAGTGAAAAGCAGGACTGTTATTTTTTCCTCCTCCCATGGTGTTTCAGTGCTGGAGATTCCTATTTTATTCCGCTAGTAGAAGTGACTCATGCCACAAGTCTCACATGGGTAGAACCAACAGTCCAGAAATTCATGTAATGCCAGAGTAGGTGGTGAATCAGAAATAAGAATCTTTCACTGTTTATCTTCAACATAATAATTGATTTTTTTTAAAAAAATTGAACTTATTTTTTATGTTTTATAAAAATAAACCCTGTTTGCAGTGCCCCAAATTAGGGTAGGAACATGCAACTCCTGTTTGCTAGTATTGTCAGTATTTTATCATAGCTGTAAAGAATAATGAGGTCCTTTAGGATGATAATTAGCTCTCTAGGTCATCATGACTAATAAATGTTGAAGCAGCAGTCTATGTGAAACTTTCTCTGGTAAAGACACTTATTAAATAAAGCTGTTGGAAAACACAGTGGATACTGCAACGCATTAACATCATCCCTTGGGATGCTGGATAAAATGTCCCTGCAATAATAAAGTGCCTCCTTAACAACCTTAACAATGTACAGAGATCTGTGTACTGGCCAAGTAATTCCCTGAAAGTGGGACAACAGGACTGTAGAGCATAAAAGAAGCTAAATGATGTGGCTTCACTTTTCATATTTTTTTCATGTTTTCATTGCCTATCATGCATAATTGGCTAAGAGAACTTACTCTTTACACTTCAATACCTAGTTAGGTCTTCTGACTGCATCCTTTCCTGCTGTAGTTATTCCTTAAATGGCAAAATATGAAGATGGTAGAAAAGAGAGAAGACAGTGTAAGAGTAGTGTTAATGTAACCCTTCTCTTTGGTCTGATGAGATTCTAAAGGTTGGGAGGATGGGACAAATTTGAAAGAAAGGATTATAGAGTAGTTTGAAAAGTCTGTGAGATTTAGGAAGAGAAAAAAAGGACAGATAGAAAAATAGAATATTTTTTGAAACATTCATGTAAACAAGGATGATGAGTAAAGAACTTTGTAGAAACAAAATAATACAAGGAAAGGTAGGTTGTGTTAAATACAAGGAAGGCGAAAAGGCAAACATCACAAGCATGCGAATAGCAAACACTATGTACTAGGCAATAAGCCACCCAGATATTTTCTATGAGTATTATTTATTAACATCTATTACACTGAGTTTTTAGCACATTGCAAGAGGGTTATTATGCCCACAGAAAGTGAAAGCAAGAATTAAGAGCTGAATTAATCTGTTTCAGTGACTTGAGTGGCATTCTTATAAGAGTCATGCCTTGGATTCCAAAGGGGTTTATCATCAGTGGGTTGATGACATAGCCTGGCCTTATGTGTCTGTTAAATTTCACCAGTGATGTGTACTAATCCCAGTAGCACTTTTTTTTTTTTTTTTGTGAGAATGTAGCTTCCAGAAACACAGCCAGTCTCATTTGAAAGACTGTAAATGCTGGGAGGACCATCATTCCTTTGGTAGTGGTGCTTGTAGCCTGTGTGTGGACTTGCTTGTGACCCAGTTGTCAAGCAGTGACTGATTTCAAAATGTATGTCTGCGTTGTGTAGATGGGATCAGCTAACCCTGTCTGTGTAACTAATTATCCACTATTCCCAAATCCCAGCACAACCCAGTTTTCACTGTGGCAGGTGAAAATCATTCATGATCTTTTGCCTGCATGAGCTAATTATATACAGCAGTTCATAATTTGCAAAGCTCCCCGTACTGTTTTCTTTAATAGAATTTCTCTATATTAGAAATTCTGTATATTGTACAGAAGGTGATTATATTGATCTTTGCTCTGGACAGCCAATGGAATTACTTAATGGGAGGATAAAAACCCAGAAAACTACATTTTTCTTTTTTTTTTTCTTTTTCTCTTTTTCCTTTTTTTTTTTTAAAGAAAGCACCTGCAATCGCTGTTCGACCTGGATCAACACTAATTCCAATTAATAACATTAATCATCTCCCTGAACATGATGATGGTTATGGATATGAGTGCCTAGAAGGAAAAGACTGTGCTAGCTTCTTTTGTTGTTTTGAAGATTGCCGCACAGGATCTTGGCGAGAAGGAAGAATACACATCCGTATTGCAAAAATTGACTCCTATTCTCGAATCTTCTTTCCAACTGCCTTTGCATTGTTCAACCTTGTTTACTGGATTGGCTATCTTTATCTATAAATTTCAGAGGTTTGACAAACTCAGAAAAAAATGCTAATTGACCAGTTGTTAAATACTTTTAACTGAGCAAACAAAGATCAGAGCTGGGCCAAAATGACTGAAATTGTATGTATGCTTTAAAAATTTTAAACAATGAGTGGAAATATGATGATGTAGTCTCCCTCTTGTGATCAGCTATAGAACTGATACTCATATTTTGTAGAGAAAATTTAAAAATAGATATCCCTAAGGTTTATGTTCACACACACACACACACACACACACACACACACACACGTACGTACGTCAAGAGGCTATTTCATTTGCCTGAACAGTTCTACATAAGCTTTCAATTTTAATCCTAAATGATAATACTGAAGGATTTTGTAGCATCTTTTACACCTTTACAAAGAAAGCCTTAATAAAACGGGATTAGTTATTCTCATCTGTTTCATCCATAAGGTGATGATTTTATTAATCCCTGGTGTAAAAAAAGTTGAAATGCAACATTTCTCTTTTTAACCAGCCATTTGTTCTCTGCAGTATGTTAAAGAGTGTGGTAAAGTCATAATTAATCAATTCAGATTTATAGAAAATGCAGATATTAGAGCAGCAAGAAATGGATATATCAAAAGAAAAACCAAGGGTAATTCTGAGCTTGTCTTATCCTGACCACTGATACAGGTTTTGGATTACCTTTATATCTGTGCTCCATCTCCTGTTACTTGACTGTTGTGAGTTCCCCAAAGTTGTCCAAGAGGGCTACAACTTTCAAAAATTCTTACCCAGCTGCCACTGCTTGCTCATTTCATGGAAAACAGACTGGTGTTGGCTGAGATTCTAGCCATTAAACATAATGCTCTTCACATCCACTCCTTTGTCTGATTCATACTCAGGGTCAGAGAAAAAGTCATAATTCTACATTTGGTAGAATTTGTAACAGTGCTGTAGTCATTGTGCTCAAAGCCACTGTGTTAAATCCCTAGTCCGAGAGTGTAGTGTGTGATCTGCTCCACTTTGTGTACAGTATGATTTTGTAGATTGTTTGTTACTGCATACACTGCTCACTGAGCCAAAGCCAAGTGGTATTAATTTACTGAAACTGTGGTATGGATTGCTGTGTAATTACCTTCTTGATATCTGTTTCTAATGGGAAATCTGTGTTGTGGAGGGGGAGTTAAAATAATCCTTATGCATTAGAGAACCTTCTCCAAGATGTGATATATCTCCCCAAAAATCATAGGACCAGTTCTCCATCCTTTCTGTGGTCTGAGTTTTTGTTCACTTTGGTAGCAATTCTTCGGTAGTAGCCTTTCTGGGCTGACTTCTCTGTGGTGACTGTTGCTGGCTGGCATAGTTTGGTATCTCATTTCTATTTCTAAATCCATTGTCTTCGTTATGGAAAAGTGCAGTCTTTCCTCCTTTCTCAAAAAGAAACCAGTCTCAAGTGAGCTTGCAAAAATCACTGTAAAATTAAGATATGCATTAAGTAAAAGTCAGCATTACACAGAAGACCTTACAGATCTTTAAAGAGGATTAATAGGATTAGCATTTGGCTGTAGGTAAGGATGTTCAGTACTAAAGATAAAGACATGATTAATGGCTAAGAATATAAAATGTTACATGAAGGGCCCCCCTGCAATATTTCTGTTGAATGTGCTCCCTCTGAATTTCTCAGAAAAGATTACTGTATTTTTATATTTGAGTTGGTACCAGGCATAATAAGATACGATATCTAATACACATTTCAGAGGAAATGTGACTGCAGTGTTCAGCCCCAGAGTTTAATAGAGAATGCAAGACTATGCACTGCAAGGAAGTGTGACAGAAGATCCCATTTTAATGAAAACTTTATTTCAGTATTTAATTGCTGAAATGTAAGAGTGGTTGAGAGAACCTGAATGCCCACTGTCAAGAATGGCTGACAGCATTTGTCCTGTGACCTTTCTGAGTACCAACTTCTGCACGTTAGACTGAGCATAGAAGTGCAGCATCGTTAATAACACTGTAATTTATTGGCTTTTTAAAGTCTCATTTTCATAAAATGTTCGGTCCAATGGAAACATGTCAGTTTTATTTCCGTAATGTAGTGTGATACTTTTTGACAGCACACTAAACACATTCCTCTGTAGGTGGGATGAAGGTGGCTTCAGCAGCAGTATGTTGGATGTGTACTTGAAAAGCAGTCAGCTTGCTATACAATACAAGGCCCAGATATTGTGAGCCTCTGAGTTTCATTAATTCACCTTTAAACAAAAGAAACTTGAAAGAACTTGGCACTTCACAAGAGGAAATACAGATTTCACAGCTTACTCTCCTCTGGCACATCTTGCTAGCTTTTTCTATTCATGTGGTTGTCAGTTGCCAATCAGCCTCCAGTGACTGAATTGGAGAACAGAAAACATCCAGAATTGGCAAGGGATGGATAAGAAGTCTTTCATCTCTAATTTCTATGAAACAATGTAATGGAGTATTAAACCTATTGAATGTTATGGCTGTTTGGCTTATGGATACACTTGTTTCTGTCTGTTGACAAACTTTTCTGTGTACTTCATTTGTTTCTGATGAAATAATTTTAGTTTCCCATGGTAATGTGAGTGCAAACAGAAATGGGAATGAAGTGAACTGTAACATGGCATGTAATAAATGTGTGATTTTAGTCCTATGTGTTTTCTTTCTAATTTGTATGTAAACACTTGAGTGATACTCCAAAATAATGGTAAGAAACAGACACTATAGTTGCTTGGGCTTAGATGCTACAATGATTTTTCAGATTTACCTGAATAAAAGTTTGTTTACTGGTAGCTGGGATCACATTATATTGGAGTCATATTGTTCTGACTATCATTGCATAAGCACATGCTTAAACCTATTCCTAATCAGTACTGTTATTAGACCAGAATTCAGAAAAGCGAGTGCTTATGTACTGTCATAAAGTGATGTTATCATGAATTGATGCCATTAACACATGCTTAATTTGAACTAATTTCAATAATGAGTGTTCAGTAGGTCAAATAATTGAACATTAAGGATGTGAGCCAGAGCATTTTCAGTAATAGATTTTCTCACTGAAAGAGAGGGACATAAGAGGAGGAATTGCCATAAAGGCAGAGGGGGAAAATTCTGGGGAAACCATTTTTTACCACACCCAGCTTAGGCATCTCCTGAAAAGTATTTTCAAAAAATAGACTCTTCTTTGATATTTTTGTATTCATGTATACGACTTGTCTGTTTTAGTAGTGAGTACAGATCAGTCTGTTAATTTTGGGTAAAGTTCTGTCTATGATTGTACCTCACTGATCTTCAGTGCATGTGTTCTGTGTCTGAATGAATCTGTTTTATGTAGTGGCAGTGCAACCAAAGCATGAGCTGTGGGTATCGTGTTTTATATTCACATGTCGATGTGCTTCAAAGACTTTAACCTTATCCAGTTTTCTGACATTCAGAGATATAGGATTGTGTAAGACTTTGAAGGAGAATCACTTCCAGCATGGTTCTTATAATTTTCTGTGGTTTATTTGCTATGGTAGTAAATGATTTTGTTTTAAATTGATATATGAACTGTGCTTTGTGAACACCTTGACCTTACAATTGAAAGCCCAACAAGAGGAATCGAGATTTGAATATTTACCTGCCTAAAGTAAGATATGTTTTGTTTGATTTAATTGTATAAGTCATCATTTCAGTTTACTGTTTCCAAATAGCTGAGAAGTAGTGCAAATACATGTTTCTTTTTTTTTAAGTAGTTGTTAATATAATTATTTTTTAAAATTCATTGTAGTTTCTCTCAGTTAATTAAATGGGATCTTTTATGTTTGCAAAATAGTACTGTATTTCTTAGCCATTATAATAGATACAGAAAATAGAAACTAATATAGAATTCTTCAGCTGAAAAATACAAAGGCAGGAATTAAAAAGAATTGCTGTGCTTCTGTTCCTGAAAAAGCTTAGTGGATGTGCACACGCCCTGATGAATGCACTGGGAGGGGAGAAAGACTCATGGGGAGGGCTAGAATAGTCTCCAGGCTGTAGAAAAGGCCTTTGCATTGGTTTATGCCATGGATTTGCTGCCCAAGTGTTTCAAATCAAGCAAAGGAATAGATCTGTCCTTCCTTTTTCAGACATCTCTTGCTTTGGCTTCACTTCTACCAGGACCAGCAGCTGTAATGCTGTGTTGCCAGATGAATCAAAACCTGAAAAGTTATCTTTATTTTGCTCTTTAGTACGTTTATGTTTCAACCAGATAGGTGGAATCATCTGGCTGAACGTGCAAAACTTTGACCAAGTTTTACTCCAAGTCAGGTGATGGTAAATTGCAGCTGGAGGCAAAAGAATTGCTTCTTACGATGGGCATATTTCAGTTGAGAATTTGTACAGAAAACTGGTGTGGAGGAAAGGAAAAATGGGATGGGGGAAAGATTGCTGGTGGCAATGAACCCAGAATCCAGTTGCAAAGATCTGTGTGACTGATATTTTGTTAATAGATTTCTCGCTGGCGTTTGTGATAATGCTGTTGATTTCCCTGCAACACAATTAAATATTTTTAATATTAAAGAGCAAATACTGTGCATTTCCTATAAATTAATTACAGACTGAATGAGCAATAGAAAGGTATCTTGAGGGATCATTCTGGTGAAATGTCACACAAATAAACAGGTATCAGGTAATCAGAAAAAGGTATGTTTTTCTTTTATTATCAATACTAAAAATATTTTTTACATTACTGAGTATTAATTAGTACACCAAACACTGGGAAAGGCTGGTACCCAGGGGTCTATGCTGCTGTCAGTCCCCCAGGAGGGTAAAATTTGGGAATGGAAAGATGACTCAGACTGCATTCAGCCACTGAGTCCTATCTCCATCAGGGAGTGGGAAAGGTGGATTGTGGTCACACCAGGCATGAGCTAGGATAGCTGGTGTACTCCAGGGAGGTTGGTAACATTTCTGTTTAAAAGGAAGAGTGATTTCTGCCTGAGAGACTATAATTTGAAACAGGGTGTATGCTTCCCTTCAGAAGATGG